CCTGACACCACAGATTTAGTATTTTGTACATCCCCAGGCACTAGTGCGAACACTCTCCCTTGCCTTAGTGTTTCATTTCAGGTGTTACCTCTGGCATTAGTTCTTGCATTGGTCCTTGTTACAAGAGCAGATCCGGCTGAACTTACTGCCGGATAGTTTGTATTGTCGAACCTCATCGGACAGTCTCTAATCATGTGATTGGTCTTGCCACACTGGAAACTTGCACCGGATGCACGATGACACGTGCTTTTATGCTTCCTTCCACATTTTGAACAGATTGGCATTGACCCACTGCTTTGGCTTGAACTGCTTGATGATCTAGTATTTTTGCTTTTTGTTCGTAAAGAGTGAATGGCCCTTCCGAAAATTGGATCCAGATCTTTTGCTTCTCCATTCGATTTTTGGTGCCTTGGCTTGTTTCATTGCTGCCAGGGTGGCTTCCGCCATTATTGCTTTGTCTAAGACTTCCACATAAATAGGCAATTTCAAGACGCCTACCCAGTCAAACACTTCCAAATCCAAGCCACCTTCGAATTTTCACGCCTTTTTATAATCAGTATCAATCATATGTGGAGCAAACTGAGTCAACTCAGTGAATTTAGCTTCATACTCGGCCACGGACATCCTGCCCTACTTGAGTTCTTGAAACTCTGACACTTTTCGATCTCTGAAGCATTGCAGAAAGTACTTGTCATAAAAGGTCTCATTGAATCGAGCCCATGTCATATTCCCATTACTATTTCGGATTAACAACCATCACCTCTGGGCTTCATCTTTAAGAGTATAGGTGGCTAATAAAACTTTATGAGTCTTGGAGTAGGGAAACACTTCAAATAATATCTCCATGTCTAATAACCATGTTTTTGCCTTCAACGGTTCAATACCCCCTAAGAAATTTAGTGGTTTCATTTTCATGAACTCCTATGTTAAGTTGATTATATCATTATTATCCAGTTTAACTTGGACTGGCAGATGCGGAGGAGGTAAAGGTTGTTGCCTCTGTTGTTGCGTCATTGCTTCTGTTAGGGCTGCAAGCATTTGTTCCATTTAGCTCATTCGAGCCTCAGATGATTCAGTTGTTCCATTACTTCTTATATTTTCCAATTGCTATAGGTAAACAAAGCACTAAAAGCATAGGCAAATAGTCATTTTCACAATATTCAGATCATTCGTTTCAATGTCATGTGGTCATGGTCTGATTCAATTTTCACTTTTAAAGAACACTCACTCACACATGCAGATGGAATGACCCTACTTCCTACTAGGACATCCGAATCTTATATGCACTCGTGTGTGTGGTTGGACATGTGCTCTGATACCACTTTGTCACGACCCAAACCTGCCCCTATAGTTTTAGCGTCGTAACCGGCCAGTAATCCTTGGATTACTGAAAGCCTTTGAACATAATAACATATATTTAGGGCTTGAGGAAGCAATAATACAAAATATACGTAGTCCATTGAGCTGTGCAGACATACATGGGACAAATAATTTTAAACTTAAAAGCATACATGTGACGTCCTAAAGATACAGTAGTTATACGTCACCCCACTTACAGATAAACAAAAATTTGATCGTAAACCAAAATAAACAAAGTCTTAAACATTCATAAAACGTCGCCATAAGACTTGACTTAATCCGGAACCTCCTCGAGAGACACAAAGGGTTGTTGACAAACACAAAACTTTTCAAGCATCTCTTTAAGCCTGGTCGCGCGCCTGCTCACCTACATACATAATAATAAATGGTGAGCGAAAGCCCAGTGAATAATGACGGAATAAAGGGTTAAATGAATGATGTCCCAAAATCAATTCAGAAATCAGAGTTCATATCAAAGATAGATTCATGTTCGTATTCTTGTTCAAATCATATACAGAAATATGAGTTCATGCTTAATTTTACATCTGTTAGTGCTACAGATCACATACAAAGCATCAAAGGTCATACTTGTCAGTTCCATAAAGAAACCTTCGGCCAGGTACAGATAACTTGTCAGTTCCATAAAGGAACCTTCGGACTGGGAACAGATAACTTGTTACTTCCATAAAGGAACCTCCAGTCGGTTACAAATAACTTGTCAGTTCTATAAAGGAACCTTCGGATTGGGAACAGACAACTTGTCAATTCCATAAAGAAACCTCTAGCCGGGTACAGATAACTTGTCAGTTCCTTAAAGGAACCTCTGAACTGGGAATGGATGACTTATTAGTTTCATAAAGGAACCTCCAGCCGGGTACAGATAAACTTGTTAGTTCCTTAAAGGAACCTCCGGACTGGGAACAGATAACTTATTAGTTCCATGAAGGAACCTCTAGGCGGTTACAGATAACTTGTCAGTTTCATAAAGGAACCTCCAGACCGGGAACAGATAACATACTTGTACTACATAATTGTTGCCACGAATACTTGTCAAAATTGGACAATCGTTCAGAGTACAAATATAACATTTCATAGAACAGATCTTATTCCATATACAAAAAATAAGTAAAGCTGAACATAACTTTACTAAGTTATTACTCACAATTGGCTCCAAAGCAAACAACCGGAGTAGGCAAATCAGATATCTTGTGGCGCGTGATCTACATAGATTCAGAACGGATACGTACTGAATTACACACCTGAAATCATTAACTTAGTTTTTTCTTATCTTGGTGTGTTTCTACTTTTTATCATCATTATTATGTCTTAATCTCGGCCTAGGAATGCCTAGGATGCAATGAGGATGCTAAAATACACTTGAAGACACTTATTAAAACTTGCTAAAAACAGGGGTCCCGCTCGAGCGTAACTTCCTTTGCTCGAGCGGACATGCAAAATATGAGTGGTCGCTTGAGTGCAACTTCTGTCGCTCGAGCGGTTTGTAAACTTCTGCAAAAGTACTGGTTGCTTGATTTTCTTGCTCGATAGTCGCTCTAGCGTAAGACTCGGGTCTTTGCTCGAGTGCAACTCTTGTCGCTCAAGTAGTCTGCAAAACATATAAGCTTCTAGGAGCATACATTTTATGCTCGAGCCACCTTTTGGTCGCTCAAGCGCAGGTTTTGTTGCTCAAGCGGAGAAGCAGAATCTGAAATTTCCAGATCACTGTACATGACGCAAACTTCAAATTCAAAGCCTCAAAACTCATCATTTGGACCCAAAAGTTGAGAAAACACTTGGAAACTTGTAAAAACATCATGGATTAAGAATCAATACTCGAAATCAAAGCCCAAAAATAAGTGGATTCTTTGTAAAAACATCATGGATTAAGAATCAATACTCGAAATCAAAGCCCAAAAATAAGTGGATTCTTTGAATTAAAACGTGAATTATGTGTATACATACCATGCATGTATTGTCTTGGGTTCAAAACTTCTAAAACATAATCAAATGAGGTCCAATGGTGAAAAATGTCATGGATTAGTAAAACCATGTTATAATTACCATATGTAAGAGAGAAAAGCTTGGCAACAACTTCTAAACTCCATGAAATGTACATGCATGCATGAGATGCTCTTCTTTTCTACTTCCTTGTTCAATTTTTGCTTAACTTAGCTTACTTCTCTAGAATTCATGTATGGAATAACTTAAAATCAAACCTAAAGGTTGAATTCTTACCTTAGATGTTCAATTATGCTTTAGAATGCTAATTCTTTGAGCTTGAAGGCCAAATGTCCAAGGTTTCTCCAAAATGCTGGCAATTCTTTGCTTAATCTCAACTTTCTCCTCTTCTCTCCCTCTCATGTTAGTTTGTTGTGTAGGTTCAAAGATGCGATGAAGAAAAAGATGAATGGTGGTACAAAGGAGCCTTATATAGGCTTAATTAAGAAGACTTAAATAAACTTGGCTTAAATTAAGCAAATGGGTCTTATTTATTCTAATTAATTCGTTTCGAATTGAATTTCAGTTAAACCTACCATAAAATTCTAAAAATTCCGACTAATACATAGACCAAGTCAATTTCGTGATTGGATGCTGATAAGGCCTTTAATTCGCAGAACAAAATAGAAACATAAATAGATATTCCTACCGTCGACAGATATAAACACAAATAATGCAATGCACATGCAATTAATTCAGAATTTCCTTTTAAATAGTCATTAGGCATAATTAATCATGTTTAATCAACTAATCATAGGTTTGGGTTGTTATAATAGCGTCGAGCGATCGACATGGGTGTTCACGGACGACGACGATGACCATCGACCTGGGTGTTCATCAACGACCGCCGCTGACTGTTGACCACTGACCTAGGTAGACCATCGTCCACCTCTCTTTAGAATCTCCACCGGCAACGATGTTGCGCACTTGTATATGCACTATAACAAAAAAAGCCTTCGGTGACAGATTGATTTTGTCTCCAAATATCAAATTTTCGTCACTAAAGTGATCTGCGACGAAAAAAATTTGTCACCACATTCGTGGCTTATACGTCGTCACTGAAAGTACCTGGTGACGAAAAACAGTTTCATTGCCTATTTTTCATTTTTGGCGACGAAATATTTCGTCTCCAAATGTTGAATTTTTCGTCATCTAAAACATCAATTTCGTCACCAAAACTAAATAACATTTTATTTTAATTGTTTTTGACGACGAAATATTTTGTCACCAAATATATTTTAGTGACGAAAGTTTTCCTCACCAATGATATGGATTAAGGTGACAAAAAAATTCGTCACTAAAATGAGCAAAAAAAAAAATTATTCAATGACAAAAAATATATTGTCACCAAATATTTCAATTTAGCGACGAAATTATTTGTTTCGTACTATATTATTAGTGACAAAATTATTCGTCATGTTTTTTAAAAACTAATAGTGACATTTTTAATTTCGTCACTAATAAAAGTTAAAAAATTTGAAAATGGGAATACTATTTTCTTCTGAAATTTTTTCTTTTCAGTAACAATTCTCTGCGCATTTCAATAACCTGTTCAATAAAATATCTATTATAAATCAATACAAAAATCTGTTCATTTTTTATAAACATCTCAATCGAATTTCAGCACTATCCACAAAAAAACATCTACTAATATCCACAAAAATATAATATCAACCGCATGCGGATTACCAAACACATCTCCTAATATCCAACAACAAATATCTACTAATATCAACAAAAATAAAATATAAAATATCAAGGGCGAATTACCAAACATGCCTTGTAATACCAACAAAAATATAAAATTTACAACACAACCAAAATACATGTAAGGTAATATGAACAAAAACACAAAATGAGCTACCGTCTGCCCTCCAAATTACCAAACATGTCCATATCAAATCTCGAATCTGCAAAAAAACGAAACACACACAAAAAAAAAAAAATGCAAGTTAGACAATTATTATCTTATCCATAAAATATACAATTTAACAAGCATTTCTCGAATTAGTTTTCAAACCGGGAGTCCCGTGCTAGTTTCGTAAGTTTCCAAAACTCACATTGGTCCCTCCCGAAGTGTTTGAGGTGTTCCCCAGGCCGTCTCGTGGCTGTTGCACAATTTTGGCCTCCAATGGCTTATTTTTAAGCTTAAATGTGAAAAAGTGCATTTTTCGACTTAGTTTTCAAACCGGGAGTCCCGTGCTGGTTCCGTAAGTTTCCACAACTCACATTGGTCCCTCCCGACGTGTTTGACGTGTTCCCTGAGCCGTCTCGTGGCTGTTGCACGATTTTGGCCTCCAATGGTCTATTTTGAAGCTTAAGTGTGAAAAAGTATATTTTTTGACTTAGTTTTCAAATCGGGAGTCCCATGCTAGTTCCGTAAGTTTCCACAACTCACATTGGTCCCTCCTGAGGTGTTTGACGTTTTCCCCGGACTGTCTCGTGGTTGTTGCACGATTTTGACTTCCGATGGCCTACTTTTCAAGCTTAAGTGTGAAAAAGTGCATTTTTTGACTTAGTTTTCAAATCGGAAATCCCGTGCTTGTTCCATAAGTTTCCACAACTCACATTGGTCCCTCCCGACATGTTTGACGTGTTCCCCGGGCCATCTCGTGGCTGTTGCACGATTTTGACTTCCAGTGGCCTATTTTGAAGCTTAAGTGTGAAAAAGTGCATTTTTCGACTTAGTTTTCAAACCGGGAGTCCCGTACTAGTTCCGTAAGTTTCTGCAACTTATGTCGGTCCCGCCCGACATGTTTGAGGTATTCCCCAGGCCGTCTCGTGGCTGTTGCACAATTTTGGCCTCCGATGGCCTATTTTTCAAGCTTAAGGCCTCGTTTGGCAAGAGGCTATTTTAGCCAATTAGCCAAAAAGTTACTAAATTAGCCAAAAAGCCAACAACTCATACCAAAAAGTCAAAGATTCTCTTTTCTCTCTACTTTTTGCACATCTTTTCGTAATTAGCCAAAAAGTCATCCCAAACATACAAATTTTTTTTACCTACCTTTTTAGCCAAATAGCCAAAAAGTTACTAAATTAGCCTGTTCCCAAACGAGGCCTAAGTGTGAAAAATTGCATCTTTGGACTTAATTTTTGAACCGGGAGTCCCGTGCTAGTTCCGTAAGTTTTCACAACTTACTTTGGTCCCTTCCGAGGTGTTTAAGGTATTACCCGAGCCGTCTCGTGGTTGGTACACGATTTTGGCCCCCGAAGGCCTATCTTCAAGCTTAAGTGTGAAAAAATGCAATTTTGGACTTAGTTTTCAAACCGGGAATCTCGTGTTAGTTCTGTAAGTTTCCACAACTCACATTGGTCTTTCTCGACGTGTTTGAGGTATTCCCCAGGCCATCTCGTGGCTGTTGCATGATTTTGGCCTCTGATGGCCTATTTTTCAAGCTTAAGTGTAAAAAAGTACATTTTTCGACTTAGTTTTTGAACCGAGAGTCCCGTGCTAATTCTGTAAGTTTCTATAACTTACTATGGTCCCTCCCACGATTTAGTGGTGTTACCCGGGCCGTCTCGTGGCTGTTACACGATTTTAGCCTCCGATGGCCTATTTTTCAAGCTTAAGTGTGAAAAAGTACATTTTTGGACTTAATTTTCAAACCGAGAGTCCCGTGCTAGTTCCGTAAGTTTCCACAACTTACTTTGATCCCTCCCGAGGTGTTTGAGGTGTTACCCAGGCCGTCTCGTGGCTGTTACAAGATTTAGCCCTCCGATGGCCTATTTTCAAGCTTAAGTGTGAAAAAGTGCATTTGTGGACTTAGTTTTCAAACCGAGAGTCCCGTGCTAGTTCTGTAAGTTTCCACAACTCACATTGGTCCCTCCCGAGGTGTTTGAGGTGTTCCCCAAGCCATCTCATGGCTGTTGCACGATTTTGGCCACCGATAGCCTATTTTCAAGCTTTAGTATGAAAAAGTGCATTTTTCGACTTAGTTTTCGAACCGGGAGTTCCGTGCTAGTTCCGTAAGTTTCCACAACATACTTTGGTCCCTCCCAAGGTGTTTGAGGTGTTAACCGGGCCGTCTCGTGGCTGTTACACGATTTAGCCCTCCGATGACCTATTTTAAAGCTTAAACGTTGAAAAAGTGCATTTTTTAACTTAGTTTCATGCCTACGTGTTTGGTACACTGATCACTGGAATTAAGAGAAATAAAAAGTCATTCCATCAAAATGTTAATTCCCATGTTTGGTTGACTAAAAAAAATAATTAAAAATACATTAAAAATGGGATCATCATAATGTGCAAAGTACATCAACGCCATGAAATTGCTGACCAAAAACAAATATAAAAAACAAGTCAAGAAAATTTAAATTCAAAAGGAACAATGCATCTAAGGTCAGTCAGTCAACAAAGAAAGCAAGACAAGGAAGTAAAATATGGCAATAAAAGTAAATAGTTGTAACTGACAAGATCCAAATCTAAGATTCACAAGCAATGGAAGGTCGTGTGGATTTGTATGAATTTAAGAACATGACAAGGGAAGTATAATATTTACAGATATGAATGATAGTGGTCATATTTGTGTATCTGCATCAATATACACACATATTTGATGACAACTTCTATGGACAAATGAAGATGTCAACGAAAGGATATGAATTTATTTAATTTAACTGAGTCTATAACCCTTGATAGAGCAGCATGACAAAAATGATTCATGTAGCCAACTCAACTTGATTAGGACACAAGGCTTAGTTTGGTTTGGTTTGGTTCCTGTTGTTACAATAAATTACTATGTGAAAGTAGTATTTTTCTCTTATTAAAGATGAAGGGTCAAAGAATGTTTGTACGCAAAGTTGCTGATGGCTGACAAAAGGTATAGGTGTGGTGATAATGGCGATGACAGTAGAGGAAAAAAAGAGGTGGCCCTTGGCAGTGACAGACATTGAATAAATAAAGTGGTGTTGATGATGACAGCAATTAAAATATTGAACTTTAAGCTTATTTCAGAACAACATTTCAGGAATCATTACTTAAGAATCTCAAAAATCACCTTTCATAAGTTTCTTCTTCACGTGAATTTCTAGATGAAGAAAGCCAATTCACGTCCCAAAAATTTGAGCAGTGGAATGAATCTCGATGTCCATCCAAACAAACACGATATTTTCCAGATATTGGTTCTGCTACATATCTAGAAAAAGCTGCCTACTAGACATGGAGGGGGTATACCTACACAAGACAACCAATTAATTAGAGAAATGTTGCAATTATTAAATTATATAAGTGTACAATGTGAGATATAATTGGCCATCATATCGCATACCACACCACATGTTCAACACTAATTGACACACAAACAGTGACTTGAACTTCCAAGAGGAGTCAAGCTATGCATGCAAAACAATACTAGAGAGACATTTTAAATATAACATGTATTCAATACAATATTCAAGCTTCAAATGTTTATCATATATGATAAGCTCATTTGGTATTTGAAATTACTCATTCAATTTTCAAAAGACATTCTAAATGGTAATCAAAATCCACATGTTTTAGTTAGATGATACTTTAATAGTTTCAAATTGATCATTCATATCATCTAGGTAGATTATTTGTCCACTCATGATGAATCCAGCAAGTTAAAGCTTTAGTGCAGCTACACTTTCTGAATTTCATCAACTTTATGGTTACCTGGGCATTTGGTCTATAAGAGCTCCACATCTGAGCCAATCCAGTCCAATTGGCTAGTCCAAACTGGTTTTTTGACAAATTGATGACTTTGGAACATTATATTTTTATCCGAGCCTTTCTACTTTATTCTTCAAAGAATTATGTAAATTAGATGGTCAATTTTGGCCATTATACTAGCTACAGTAAATCAAATAATGGGAAAGCCCAATTGCACTTGTAGAGAACAAAGTTAAATGATAAAGAAGCTCCTTCAGGTACCAGATTTAACAAAGTGATGTAAGCTCACCTTGAATAAGATAATTCACTTTCACAAGTTGAGATTTCTGGAGTTGACTCTGAAAGACCTCGCGTCTTATCAGGCAAATGCTGATTGTGATATTCATTTTGTCAAACATCAGTGGCTTCAATGGGTGAATTGCTTTCACAAAGAATGTTGTCGTCTGACAATAACCTCTTTAAAAATGTTCTACACACATACAAAATGTAGACTTATTAAACATTTTGAAAAAAACCTCATTTTGTGTCATATAGTTTAATAGATATCATATCACAAATATAATATTTCCAACATACTTACATACATAGTAATGGATGAACTTAAAAAGAGCATTCAAAGAGGATATCTCCAGTGTATAAAATTTGCAGACAATACAAATTTAGTTGACGAAACAAGAAAATGAGAAAACTTTAAGCTAAAATTGTGGAGAGATATTTCAAAATCTAAAAGTTTAGATTTAAGTAGGACTAGGATAGACTATAAGAATTGTAACTAGCAAAACTAGAAATAGGGATTAAGATAGAGTACAAATTGGTGGGTTTATAGAGTTTAACAAAGAAGTCTTCATTAGCATTAAGTCTTTTATCTCCAACATTGCATTAAAGGAGGCATATAATTCACGAGTCTGCCGAAGCTTTTTCTGCATATTAAGCAGAGGGTGAATACATTTGGTTAATTTAGTTAAGATTGGAGGCAATATGAAATTCATAAAAGAAAATGTAACAGAACTAACCAACCATGGTATTTCCATACCACATTTCTTTAGCTAGCTGCTGGAGTTCAAAGTGATCATCAGTCAAAAGTAACCTTGATTCTCAACAAGTACAATACAATTCTAGAAGTCAGCAACCATGATTTAATGGTATAAAAATAGCCTCATCACCATAAAACCAAGAAAGAAAAACTTGAAAGAACTATATGGGATAGGAAACAAATTAACCTGGAAGCAAGATAAGCCTTTGATGTCATCTTTAGTGACAAATAGCCATGCTCAGCAACGGTTCATCCAAAAACCACACTCAAATCAAACCAATTCCATTGTTCCACAGTCGGTCATTAACCAAGACAAAACTGACATTGAACTCTACTACAATTGGCCAAAACAATTGAGGACTTGCGTAAATCTCATTTCACATCCAATATCCATTATGAAGATGCTAGAAAACCCTAAAGAAGAACAAAAAGAGTAAAAAATAAATTTTCCCACTTGATGTAGAATCTATTTACGACTTAACTCCAACAAGACAAAATTCCTAAACAAACGAATCAAATTGTAACTTAAAAAAATTACAACCCAACTCAATATAGACCTCTTAGAATAAAATGACTTTAACCAAAAAACCCATTATAAGTAAATAGAAACTTTTATGAGCATATAAATCCAATAAAAATTAAATTAATCAATTTGCTTCCACCACCATAAAGTTTCTAAACAAAAGCACTGAAAATCCCAGAAAAGGCGTCTGATCCAGTCAAAGAGTTGAACTTTCAAAATATAAAGACTAACGAATTATAATAAATTCAAGCTGATGAGACCAATTAAACTCCAATAACATCTTCCATGATAAAATAAATAAAAAATAAAAAAAATAAAAACACAAAACAAACCAAAAAAAATAGAAAAACAAACTAACTCCACCACCAAACATTGCACTAATACATCCAGATTAGCAATAGCATCAAAGTGGTTATTCAGAAAGAAAAAGGGGCAGTGTAACTTACAAGTCACTTATCACGAGCATAGAGGACAGTATTTAACATATTCTCAAACAATAAAAAATATCCCATCCACTCTGAAATAATGATATCCACTTGAGCAACTGGAAGCTCAATTTCCTCAACTTTTCCACTTGATTTGCCTGTATGGAATTTTGTTCTTGCTCCCCCGGAATTTCCATATTGGCCACATATATTTGGGATTTTCTTCATTTAAGATAATGAATATGAGATTGTCAAATAGGAAAAAGTTGTGTGTATAACTTTGTCTCTCTCAACAAAAATTCTCGCTCAGCCCTCCTAAAGCAAGTGATTGTTTTCTATCTCAAATGATACCTACCCATTAGGTGGTTTTTATGTGGATCAATCTTGTTATTGAACAGTTATGAATGCCAAATACCCACATTGAAAGTGTACTGATAAACCAGTAAAATGTCCCAAATAAATCCAGAAATTGTATACACAGTGAATACAGAAAGTAGTGATAAAGATCACATACAGTAGGCACATCACTGCCAACACAAGCAATGGAAGCTGTCTTCACTCCTGCTCGAACACCCTCTGCAAATTCCAGAAACACCATTCAATAGCAACCCATGATCAATAAAAAAATAATAGCATTGGTCAAACTAAACCCATGAACCATACATAATTTCTGGTTTTCTCATCAACCAAACACTCAAAAACTAGTCAGAAACAAACCTTGAGTGTGCCGGCGTGAATTCAGAATCTTTTGATCCTCAGTCGGTGAAGCAATCAAAAGCGAATATCTTTGGTTTGCCCAAGCGTCCCTCATCGTCGATGGAATTCCCATTTCGGTCTCGGATTTTTGAAGCTCTATTTAGATTAAATTGAATAGAATAAACGTCGAAATCTGAGAGGATTAGAGAGAGTTTGAAGGGGATTGAGGAAATGAGAGTATTTCGGTTTCTTACAATAAATAAATGAATAAATCTAGGACCAACTCTCGTTTGAAAAAAACAAAAACATAATAGAGTGAACATGTGTCTTCGGCGGTGGCACTGAAGAGGGAGTAGCTAGGGTAGAGAGCAAGGAGGGCAGAGAGTGAACATGTGTTTCTCAATGTCTGTCCCTCTTCCTACTACTACCAATACCATCTTTCTCAAACTTCTTCCACTTTCCATCCTCGAAATCATCGTAGTCCGACTTTTCCCTCACAAAATCCCTTCTTCCCCATCATCCTCTTCCCTGATAATCAGGAGTGCCCTCCTCAGCCGTCGTGTTCTTCTTGATGAGTTGTTTCCGAGGCTTCGGCTTGACATCCGAATCGTTGTAAATTGGGGTCGGAGAGGGGCTTTGAGGGAAATCGAAGGGCCTTGTAGAGATGATGGAAGTTGATGATTTGAGAGTGGTTTTGAGAGAGAGAGAGAGAGAGAGAGAGAGCCTTTTTTCTTTCTCTTCAAATAGGAATTTTCTCTCAAATTAGGGCTCAAAATGGTGAAGTGAAGTAGATCAACAGTGGGAAGATTGAGGGGGAAGGGACAGATCGGAGACGAGAAGGGTGAGGATGTAAATCGGCAATGGAGGAGCATCGATGGTAAGAGTTCTATTCCATCAGTTGCTTTCATTAATGTTGGGGCTGAAGATGTATATGTTATTTTTCTTTTATATATATATATATATATATATATATATATTTTTGGTGAATTGGCGCCACAAAATTTCATTTTGGTGCCTTTTATATATATATCATACAATTCACGATATGTATTGTGCGCCGTAAAAAGGTAATATTCTTAACGGCAGGCGATGTGTGCGTTGTAAAAAGTGTAATACTTGCAGGTCGAAACGCGTGGGTAAGGGTTGAACCTAGGCTCTGATACCAAGTTGTGACGCCCCGATTCTACACTATTGATTGCAGACAAAGGAGAGTCACTAATGAGTCCTATGGTCAATAGCCAAGTAAGATCCCAGATCGCCGGAGGAGTCAAAATAGCCTCCCTTCTAAGTTGCAAGTCGCAAAAAAATCATTGTTATTACCATTCACGGCCTACGCAATAGACACACCGTGGCTGGAAAAGTATTTACGACGTGCAAAAAAAACAAGTCGTAACAGTGAGAAATTACGACATGCATTTATTGTATGCCGTTGATGTGGTGCCGTAAAAAGTTAGTTTTATTGTAGTGAACCCCTTCGATTGCGTCTCCCCAATTTCAGAGAATGGTTGCTGGTTTGCGATAGTGATATCAATGGCGGTGGTCATCGTGTACTCATGTACCGATGGTCGTGGAGAGAGAGAGACAGAGAGAGAGAGAAAGAGAGAGAGGGGGCGGAGGAGAAGGAGGGCGTGACAAAGAGACACAGGAGTGATAGAGAGAGAATAAGAAGCACTTTTTTTTTTTTGTTTTTTTTTTTGGGTCCATTAGCCACGACAACAAAGGCCATGGCAAAAAAAATCTTTTTGCGATGGGGATAGAAAGCCGTCTAAAAAAAAAGGTCTTTTACGACGGTTAATGGTTTGCCATCACAAAAACCATCCAACATATCATTTCCTCTTTTCGAGACAGGAATTGCTATCGCAAAAAGTGACCATTAGCGACGAGATATTAATCGTCACAAAAGGTTACTTTTTGCGACAGAAAATATACCGTCGCTAAAAGTTCCGTGTCATATATCCATTTTTCTAGTAGTGTTAGGGTTGGGTGTGAAGGTATATGCGAATCGAAGAAGACATAGAGAGGAAGACAGAGACAGACACACACACACGCACATAGAAAGAGGGAGAGCGAAATAGAGGACATACCTTCTCGAGACAAAGTGACGGTGGTGCTAACCCTTACGGTGTGCTCGTCTAACCCTTGTGTTGTGCTCGTTTAACCCTCGCAAATAGAGGCGTGAGGCGTGAGAGAGAAGAGACACAAAGACGTGAGGCGTGAGAAAAGAGAAAGGGAGACAGAGAGGGAGAGAGAGTGACTGAGGTAGACAAAGCGAAAAATAGACCGTGAGTGAGAGAGAGACAGACCGAGAGTGAGAGAATACCTGTGAGGATGTGGTGGTGGTGATCTGCGGACGGTGGTGGTAGTGGTGGGGGTGGCGGTGGCGAGCGGCGTTGGTGGTGTGCGCTGAGGTGAGGTCATATAGGGTGAGGTTTGGTGGTCAAATCTGTGTGTGAGAAGAAGAACTGATATATCTAAGGCGCAAATATATTCATTTCCCTCTAAAAACCTTTAGCAACTCAACCATTTATTTGGTGACAAAATTATTTCCTCACTAAAAGATAAAATTATTAGCCACAAAAATAGTTTTCTCACTGAATAATATTAAAATATTAAAAATTATTGGTGATGAAAATATATTCGTCATTAATAATTTTATTATTGGTGACCAATTTTTTCCTCACCAAAAGTCTGAAAATTTTGGCGCCATCCGAAAAATTAGCGGGAAAATCTTTATTGACAAAAAAAATATAAATAATGACGAAAAATAATTTCGTCACCTAATTTTTTTATTATGTATGTAGATTGGTGACGAAATTTTATTTTTGTTTCTAACAATGGTACATTTTGAGACGAAAAATTATTTTCTTCACTAAAAGGTACGTCTTTCGTGACAAAATTTATTTTCGTCATTAGTTTTCGTCTCTAAAGACACTTTTTGTTGTAGTGATGGACGATGTGATTGCACTTATGCTTGGAAGTTTTATCCTCGCTCTTACTGTTGAGCATTACAACATTCATAGGAGATTGGCTTTGAATTAAGGTTCTTTTGCTTAATAGGTTGTTGATTATGTTTTTTTGCTTTTTGTGTTTTGTGTTTTGTGTTCTGATTTCTAGTTTGAATCTTTCTAATAATGATTCATTCTGATTCATCGTTCTGTTTATTCAATTGCAAAAGGCAAAAGGATTATTTTTTTTTGGTTGTGTGGCCAATTTTTTTGAATTGATGCATTGTAGGTGTTTGTTGAAAGTCCACAATAGAATAGAAAAACAGTTTGTATGATTTTGGTGGAAAATGAGTTTTGATGTGACTAAATTTTAGATTGAATGTAGTGACAAAATCAAACAGAAATCTTTAATAGTGGAAAACATAGATGCTCTTCACTACATGTAATAACTAGATTGCACATTGAACAAAATGAGAAAGCAGAATGATTGACCCATTGATTGAATCGTGGAAGATGATGATTCTTTTGTTTCAGAGTACCCTTTACAAAGAATGACCTCAACGTTGTTTTTTTTCTTTCTTTTGTGTGTGTGTGTTTGTGTGTTGTTGGAGAAACAAAAATCAGACCATCACTGCACTCAATTATCTGCTTGCATTAATCCTGGTTTAGAGAGAGACCAATTTCAGAGACTTTGGGTCTGAGAGAGAGAGAGGAGAAAAAAGGTGTGAGGCCCTTGAAAATTTTATTTTCTTAAAAGTCCCTCAATTTTGGGAAATTGTAATGAAGACCCTTGATTTCCTAAATAATTTCAACTTTAACCCTAGAAGCGAAAACTCGCAAACCCTAATTGATTTCGGTAACTTAAGAATTATTTCTAATATTCTAATACTGATTAATTGACTCTCTAAATATGGAATTACTACTTAAAACCCTAGATTTTTTTGGTTTTCATCATGTTCATCGGTTGATAGCCTTTTTTTTTTTCAAAACAAGAAATCTAAGCCGAATTATATTCTCTAACCCTAATTTAGTTTAATTCTACACTTAAATAAATGTTATAATTCATAAATTAAATCCAAAGCCCTCACATTTTTATTAAATTACTAATTGACCCCAAAATAGTACTATTATATATATATATACTTGTACCTTTAAACCTATTTTATATACCATATTTTGAAATTTCCATCAATTGTACACAAGAAAAAAAAAAAAATAATCCCCTCAAATCCACCCCACATGGCTAGCCACCATAGGAAAGATAAGTATATAGAACTTTTTAAAACATAATCCATGAATTCATGGAAAAGTTTGCTAGTATGCCCAAAACATGGAATTTTGTTTCCACCCCAAGTTTCATCCTAACCAAAGCCAAACTAGATTATGATTAATTTCATAATTAAGGCCTCTAATCATCTATTATTTTATTAAGTTCAAAATAAATCCAAAATATCCAATCCATTTCCAACTAATGGGCACTTTGGACCTTTAGCACCAATTTTAGTAAAAATACAACCTCTCCCTTAGCATTTTGCACACAAGAACACACACACACACACACACACACACACACACAAACACCCTATTCGGCTGAGAGGAAGAGAGGGCAAGGGAGTGAGCTTGGTGGAGGAAATGAGAGAAAGAGAAGGTTTTGTTAGCAAACCAACCAAACCTCAAGTAAACCATATCACCATCTCTCCTTCTATTTCCTCTTTCAAATACATGTTATTAGAGATTTAAAATCATATTTTCAGATGTGTTGTAATGATGTTCAT